TCTCGTTATTTTCTTCCCCGCAACATTCCATCTGCTCTGCATGATTCGTCCATTTGCTTTAAAATGCCAAACGCAACGTTGAATCGGTGAATCGGTCTCGGTTCAGGCGGCCAAGACATCCGTCACTGACTCACCAGTCACTGTCCAATACCGTGTCGAATATCATGAATCAGATCCATTTAGCAATCAGTAAAGTAAACCAGCAGTAGAGTAAAACCACAAGGTAACAGTAGAGCTACGATTATGCTTTCAGCCATAGAATTGACTTCTCCCTTGGCGCGCCAAGATCGTCAGCTCTACCCAGATGCACTGTATATCTATTTCCTGTTTTACAATAGCTACGACGTCTCGTGATGATGAGCTCCGTGCCTCTTCCGGCTTGGTCTGAACGATAATTCAAGCTGCACGTATCGTGTGTTTTTTTACCAACGGTGCATGCGAAAATCCCCATCATATCATCAATGGCGACCGCCGCTTTGACATGGCATGATGGAGATCATAGGGTAACATACGAAAAAAGCGATGATCATTGACAATGCAACGGTTTTGCGATTGTCGTTGCTGATGAAAATGTGATTGTTGAAAGTTACCCTAGATCTGCAGGGTTGAGTTGGGATCTGGGGTTGGATTGTGAGTAAGCATCATCGATCGGACTCCAGATTCTGACTCGAAGCGAATTCTGTCATCCACAATGACCAGAAATGATGATCGATTGATCGATATCGAGCTTGTTTTCGCCTAGATGGAGCTCGTTCAGTAGCTTCGGTATCGCCACTTGATAGCTTGTGAAGCTCTTGCGCCAGCAGCTCACGAGCATTCGACAGGTTCTATCGCATTGAGCGTGTTGATCAACCACTTTCATCATTCAATGACTGACTTTCTACAGACAAATTATGCGCAGCGATTGATGTGATCTCGCAGCCGACGCGCGTTTCTTTTAACTTCTTCAGCGGCTGTCTCTGAGCATGTCGCCATCACCAACCTTGCCGGGTACCTCGAACGCGGCGCCATTCACGATGCCTCAAGCTACGACCATTCAAACATCACGATCTTATCTCCTCATCAAGGTTGCGAGATCTCTGATCTTGAACACCCCACGCCGTTGCCGAAGTAGCGCTGATGCTGTGTCCATGAACCGCCGCCTTCACGCTGGGTGTGTACCGTCATGCTGGGTTCTGAAGCCATCGACCAGCAGGCTGGGTGCGAGCGGACCGACCTCGGGCTGGGCCGTGTCAACGGTTGTTGTTGACGAGTGTCAATTTTTTAAATACGATTGCGATGCAGATGACTCGCGACTTGCGATTGAACCCTGGCGCATATTGGAAGAATGCATTGAGCAGAGGTTGTAGGGGCTTGCGCAAGCTAGGCAAGTGGTCTGCATTGCACAAACTGTCTTCGCTTCAAGACATTATCAAACGCATGTATCTTGAGAATTAAAACTCCAACCTCAATGAATCTCTTCCAACTCCGCAAACACAAGAACTCCGCCAACCCACGAAACCCCTCGAAGCTTCAATTTCCGCCAATGCAACCCAATACGAAAAAACTCTCCCCGCAACAGTAGAACATGATCGAATAACATGAATGTAACGAGCTGAATAATAACATCCCAGCGTTTAATAACAAACTTTAAAACGTATACGCCGTATATGGAAATACCTCCATGATAAATGATCTCTTCTGGTCTTTCTTCCGACTCATGAGCCGAGGCATCTCCACTAGACTGACTCTTAACAATTTTTATTTTTATTTTTCGCCGCTCACAAGAAAAGACGTCATTGATACTTATATCATGATGCGTACGTCAAGTCATTGACTTTTACTCCATGTGATTTTATCGTTCATAACTCCATCAACCTCAATCTCAACCTCAACCTCACAACACCGTAACGCAATTACACAGACTATAACAGAACAACAACCTCACAATGGCCGAAATGCAAGCATGGCAAGTCGCCAACCCAGGCCCAATGGAAAAAGTCTTCCGCCTCACCACACTCCCCAAACCAAGCACCCCCAACCTCAAGCCCGGCCAGATCCTCGTCAAAGTCTCCCGCGCTGCCCTCAACCCCGCCGACTACAAAGTCTGCGAGCTCGGCGTCGCATCGCGCCTCATCACCTCCTACCCCAAGATTCCAGGCATGGATCTCAGCGGCCGCGTCGTCTCCGTCGCACAAGACGTTACCGATGCGAAAGAGGGTGATTTTGTTCTAGCTAGAGCGTCGCCGATGAAGGCTTGGGGATCACTAGCCGAGTATACGATCGTCGATAAAGAGGGGTATACGGTCATTCCTGAGAGTCTGGATATGGATCAGGCTGCTGGTGTGGGCACCGCGGGGTTGACGGCGTATCAAACTATCGCGCCGTATGTCAAGAGTGGTGATAAGGTGTTTATAAACGGTGGCTCGGGCGGTGTTGGGCTCTGGGGTGTTCAGATTGCCAAGGCGTTGGGATGCTCTGTCACTGTGTCGTGCTCAACTGGAAAAGCAGATCTGTGCAGAAGCTTAGGTGCGGATGATATCATCGACTACAAGACCAGCGATGTCATCGCCGAGCTCAAGAAGCGCGGTCAAGTATTCAGCCACTGCGTCGATAACGTGGGTGACGCACCGCCCAATCTCTACGCTTCATCAAACGACTTCCTCCTCCCCGGCAGCAGCTTTGTCTTCGTGGGCGGTCACGTCTCAGCCAAGAGCGTTCTCAGCTTAACGACAAACCTAGTACGACCTTCGTTTCTGGGCGGTGTAAAGGCAAAGTTTGTTACGTATGCTACTGCGAACAAGAAGAAGGATCTGGATCAGTTGAGGGATTGGCTGGTGGAGGGTAAAGTCAAGACTGTGATTGACTCGACGTTTGGGTTCAAGGAGGCGGACAAGGCTTTTGAGCATTTGAAGAAGGGGTCTAGTGGTGGTAAGGTTATGATTCATGTTGAGTAAGGATGGGATGGGAATTGTGATACCATGGGCGGGCGTTTTGTTATTAGTTGTAGACTATGTTACAGTAATGTACTTGTTTGCTTGCGACTGTCGTTATGTTTGTGAAGTGCTAGTTGTCTAGCGACAACGTTGATACATGTATCAATGCCATATTGATACAGAAACATCAAAAGGAGCCCGTAATGAGACTCCATAGGGTGATGCGTGAGATTGGCAAAGCCGGCCCGTCCCAATCATCATCCCATACCCAGTTGAACCTGGTTTTTGCAGGAGATGGAGATATGGGAGCGCTGCTGACCTCGGGACAGATCATTCGAGCAGGATCTGTCAATCTGTGACCAGACGTGAAGCCCTGTTGCCACCGAGTTCAACCCCCCGATAAAGATGTGAGAACTGCGCAAGTGTCTCGCCCTGGACAGCGAAGGCGCCCTCAAGCATGGCCACTCCTCAACTCTGATAAAAATATCCTCAAACCCTCTCCCATCTCACGTCCCCAACCCAGCGGCAAATTTCTTCGCAACCCACGCAGCACCATGCTCCTCATACTCCGCCTTCGTAACAGCCAACCTCTCAATATCCCCATGACACGCCAGATTCGCACCCCCAAACCAAGTATGCGTCACCGGATCCGCCGGCCTCGCAACCCTAACGATACAATCATCCGGCACCCTCTGCACAACCTCCTTCTGCAGCCTCTGAATAAACCCCTCAAAGTGCGTGTTCCCTCCAACACCGATGATATTCGCTAGCAACGCTGGCCAGAGTCCTATGGGCAGCTCTTGTAAAGAGTCGTACACGAGGTCGGCGAGACCGGGTTGTCGGATCCCGGCGTCGGAGGGGTTGAAGAGGATCTCGGGGACGGTGAAGCGCTCGTTGCGTAGGGTCAGGGCGTCTTCTTCGGATTGGGATGCTAGTTTTCGGGCTTTGGAGTGGCGGGCGGGATCGTAGTCGACGAGAGTTCCTTTGAAGCGCGTGTGGAAATCGGGGAGGATGTAGTCCTTGGCGATACCGCCGCCGGACAGATAATCTGGTCGACGCTCGCCTCTCGTTCCCTTCCATGACTCTTCGAGATCAGCTTTGAAGTCGGCTGAGACGTAGCATGATAGCTCTTTCATCTCGTTGACGATGTATGTATCGTTACGCATATCGAAGTGTCGTAGAGAGATTAATCGTGTGAGGTAGTTCGTCAACACCTTGCCGCCGACATCTAGTCGTTTGATCGCGGATTGTAACGGTTGCCCGCGAAGGACTGGTGTGATAGTTGTATGCGAGTATCCAGAGTCAATGACCATGACGGCTTCAGCGGGGGTATTAGCGACCGTAGGAGCCTCTTGCGGCGTCCGAAAGATATTCTGCACATCGTGATACGCATTAAACGTCGACCCTGTCGCAATCAGCATCCCAACCCCATCAACCCATCACAAAGCTTACCTATCCCCCGATAATAACTCCCAAACCCATACTCCTCAAAAACAATCTGATCACAGTTCGCCTGCAGAATCGGCAGCCCATTCGGCGGCTCAGCGAGTATCAACCTCGCATCCTTAGGCTCAAACTCCTCCCTCTCAAAAATCTCCCTATCCCAAATCTCCTTCTGCGCCTCCCAATTGACAATGAACCCCTTCTCCACAGGTCTTCGGAACTGTATCTCGCCAAAGTCGCGACACTTTTCTAGCTCGGATGCGACGTAGACTTTGCGCGTGCGGTCGCGGGCGATCACGTTGGGGATGATTCGGGGTTCGGAGGGGATGGTGGAGGAGTGGACTAGGCCGGCTTTTATGGTGGAGGCGCCGTTGTCGAGGACGAGGGTTGTTGATGGGCCTTTTGGGGGCGCGGGTTTGGGTTTGCGTGGGCCGGCCATGGTGAGAGTTTGGGAGATGAGAGGTGATGATGGGTTTTTGGAGGTTTGAGCGCGATGGATTTGATGGGAGGGGTATTACGTAAGCCATCATGAGTTGAAATCATGATGTGCAGTCATCTTGCTCTTGGCATGAGGGAGCTCAACGCTCACTACGGATTTGGCTTAGGACTTAATTTGTACTCCAATAACTAGCGAGAGATTGTTTAGTCTCTGTTTGGTTGGGTTGGTAGCAGAATTCCTGATCGCAAGAAAGGCACCTCAAACCCTCTCACGTCTCCATCGTCACCAACGTACAGCAACACTCTATCTAGAGGCTCACCACCATAATGAATCCAATCCTGAATCGACCACCCGACGCAATCCATCCCTTCAATCCAATTTCCAGGAAGATCCGTTTCAAATCCCCAGTTGAGGTCAGGCCACAAATGCCATACCTCCTTCACAACAGACTCCCCATCTAAGGTTGCATTCTCACGAAGTTGGCTGGGAAACACTCGGATCTTAGGCCCAACTTTTGGAAGAAAATCGCCCAATGTAAGATCCCATATATCTCTGAGACTAGACATGATGTCTGTACCGTTGCGATGAAGTGACGTCAGGATCATTGAATCATCGTCCTGCTCCAGTAATGCCTCCATTGGAACATCCTCGTGATCGCTCATGTACCTCTGCTCGTATCTCTTTGCTTGCTCACGCGATACTTCATCCGCAGCGGAAACAAAAGTCGAAAGCATAGCATTCGTAAGAATAGGCACTGTCTTCATTGGACCGGCAGTCAATATGACGATCGCCAGACAGTAGTCATCAATAAAACTAAGTTGACTTCTGTAGTTCTGCGCACCGCCACTCTTACCGTAGACAGTGACAGCATGAGGATGCTCTGGTGTGAGGTTAGATACACGTAGTATTTCCCAAGGCATGCCAGTCAATGTGTATGCATTGCCTGCAAAGGCACTGGGCTTGAGCCAGCCGTTGATCTCGGTTGAAGTCATGTTCAGGGTTCGTGAGAGCAGTGCATGTGAGAATTTGGAGAGATCAGAGAGAGAGGAGACTAATCCACCTGCACTAATGACAGTCAGTACTCGGAAGTAGCTTTCACACGATGGACTTACGGGGTGTTCAATTTGTAGTCTGAGCCCCAGCTGCTGTCCCCGGGCGGAATTACTGCCTGATCATCATCGCCAGGCGAAGGAAAAGTGTTGATCATACCGAGGGGATCTGAAACAATTTCTTCAATCAACTGTGCGTAGGTCTTCCCAGTATACTCCTCAAGAGCCATGCCGAGAAGGACAAAGGCCATGTTGGAGTATGCCGGTCTCTCGTTGGGAGCAGTCTGCGGGTAAGACTCTCTCATTCCTGACAAGATCTCTGACTCTAATTAGCGTAGATCTCAATGTGTAGTTATGAATTCTTTGTACCTTGCCCTGTACAACCCTTGTTGAGACCTGTAACACCACATGGTGGATAGTCGTTATCTTCAATGGCGGGAAGACCGTATGCGAGGAAGACTTCTTTGAGGAGGTAAAAGTCCGAGAACCCATCTGAAACTGGTCAACATGCTGTATCTAGGTAGAGGAGGATACCTACAGTTCGCCGGTGTACCGCCCAAGTACGAAGCCAACATCCTCAAAGTCACATCCCTCCACTGAATCTTGGACTTCCCATCAAGTCCCGGAAGATACTCCGTAACCGGCGCATCAAGATCCATACCGCTCTTCAAAAGCACATAGTCCGTAAATACTTTCGTTATGGATCCAATAAGATACTGAGAATCTCTGTCCAAGTTCTTTGTGCCCTTTGTGTTGGCGGCTGCGAGGTGATGGTACTCCCATATCGGCACACCAAGGTCGCATTGATCTCCGCTTACGACTGCAAGTGAGAAGGAGACATTGCCTATGGGCCACCCTGCAGTGATTGAGCCAGAGAGAGCTGCGTTGAGAGTTTCGGTCAAGTTGGTGGCTGCAGCTTGGAAGATTGGCGACTTGGTGAGAGCTGTTGGTCTTGGGAGAACAGGGCCTTCTGGGCGACATTTTAGTTCTGCAGAAGTCAACTGAGCTGACAAGGATAGGATAGAAACGATTGAGTATGACAGCTTCATGATTAGGGTCTTATAATAGAGGCTGTCTTGCATGTGGTTCTTGTCATTCATCATGTCCGACAAAGGGCTCTTATACGTTCCATTTCATCTCCCATGAAGACAATTAACGACCATTCGCGTCAAAAATACGAAATACGAAACAAACGCATCTTCAGATCCATCATCATTCGATACTGAGATCTCAGAGACAAGATCTAGATGATCGACACGGCAGTTGTAAGACGGCGTCGCGCTAAAGCAAGGGTGATTGCGAGATACGATGCACATCCCCATATTATTCTCTTGGCCCTGCAGAACTTCCCTCATCGTAACAGAAAACAATCATCTATTCATAATGGTCACCTAAATCTTGGGTGTGTCCATGGCACTGGGTATCAACCTCCACCGCACCGCCGTCTCGTCCCTCGGCACAACCCCCATATCCTCAACCCGTCTCGCATTCACAAAATCAGGCCCTCCACTCCCCCACGCATAATCCTTCCACTCCCCAAGCGCAGGCCACATCTTTTCCCTCACAAGACTCTCAATCTTTATCTTCCGCTGCGTCGCTTCTTCATCGCCTACGAGGCCTACTACGCTCGTCCACAGCGCCCATGTCTCTTCTAGCTCGTCTACGCTGGAAACGCCCATGACGCTCACGCCGAGACGGCCTGTGTCGCTGGGATTTACCCTCGTGCCGAACCGTGAGCCTACGCGCGCCCAGTTCTCGAGCGCCCACCGGATAGCCACTTCTTCGAGATGCTCGCCTGAGTCTTGGGCGATGCTGGAGAGCTTGGCGCATAGGTCGCGGAGTTCTTCTGGGGCGGGGTGCCATGCGCGCATGGGGCTGTTGTCGATGCCGCGGGTGGTCAATAGTCCCATGCCGAGCATGCTGGCATTTGGCACGCAGTCTACGCCTGCTGCTTGGAAGCGATCTAGCAGTGCCTTGTTGCCAAGCTGGCTGTTTTGCACGCAGAAGTTGCTGTACGACATGACAGCGTCCAGAGGCTCTCCAGTCTCGCGCAAGATCATCTCTGCCAGCGACGCAAGCGTATCAACCGGATATCCACTGATTCCGACATATCGAACAAGACCTTGATCTCTCAACCTTCGCAGCTCTGTAACAGCAGCGAGGACCTCCTCGGGCGAGACAAACTCCACATCATGTGTGTACACAAGATCGAGATACGAAGTGCCCAGCCGTTCAAGACTGCGACAGACACTATATCGGATCCAAGCGGGCGAGTAGTCAAACTCATCGCCCGCGATGCGCCCAGCTTTCGTGATGAGGAAGTAGTTCTCCCGCGGCGGTGGAGGCGTTAATTTTCGCAGCGCATCGCCGAGGAGGATCTCAGAGGGGCCGTAGTAAGGCGATGTATCGAAGCCGAGGATGTTGTGGGCGAGGGCGCGGCCTACGATGTCCGTGTAGGGCATGTGAGTTGGATCGGGATGGTATTGGTGGTTGAACGTTGCTGTTCCGAGGATGAGGGGAGGGATGACCTCTGAGAGAGGTTTTCTTTCGTCGGCCATGATCAAGAATGAGATATTATCGCGAAGTTGAATGCGCTTGAGATTTGGAACCGGGAGCCTTGGGTCCGTTATTTTTGCGGCGCTGGAGTTATCGGGTAGTGGAGGGGCTCGGCGATATCGGGATCTGATAAAAAAAAGCACAGAATCACGAAACAAAAATCCACTGAAGAGAAAAAAGATTCTCTATGAGGTCAAGATATCTATCACGAAGGAGAAAACAAGGGTCCGTTAGTAATTCCAAGGGTCGCCCCTAATCGAGCGATCTACCGCCATCAAGCGCGATCGCGAGCGTATCTGTGTCACTCTATGATGAATCATTATCAACAAGAGAGGGAATTTCCCGCCCGACGGACCGACAAGACCAAACCTGAAAGAGAAGTATTGGACCGAGTACGTAATTTGCGCATTCGGTTGCGCCATTTGACGGATCTGACCTGTCAAACGCGCACGTTGTGAGATGGCAGCTCAATAGAAGGTATAGAATAGAGGGGAGTGATAGTTTTAAGGTGAGCGATCAGCATTGGAATAATAAATGAGCAAGGTAGATTAGATCGTGACCCCCAAATGAAACCCCCAAAATGAGTGGATTCGCTAACTTGTTCTATTCCCGTTCCATTGCCTGTTTCTATCGGATCTACTTTGTCTCCGAGCGGGGAGCGAACTGGGGTGCAGTGCGTGGTTCGAGATGGTATCGTGCCATAATCTCATCTGAGTCGACTTATTCAAGATTGGAGCAGGGAAAAAGTGGTATGATTCCAGGAGCCAGTCCTCATATCAATTAATGAAAGCAAAAAAAGTGGTGAGTATCCTAAGGAGTCGAGTTTCATCCCAATCCATATTATACGCCTCGACTCCAAAACCAACCAAAGAAAAAACAACAAGAGTGGAAAATCCGAATACGCTTCATCATGACGCCTCGCTCAGTCCACTTTTCAAAGAGGACTCCATTTCATATTTCCAGGGACCTTGTAGATGCGCCAAGTCATTTACTGTACCATGATCAGATGTGAGGTTGCATTGGTCCTTGGTTGACACATGTCATTCATATGTTTGGTGCATCAGACTCGCCTGAGACCGCGACCTCGACAGAAACACCCTGTGAAGCAAGTTAGATGATTGAAACGAACTGAGGTAAGAATAACATACAGTCGCACTAGAAACAGTCAGTAAGGGTTCTTGATATGGGAACTGGGGAAAACTCACAAAGGCGCTTGATGATCCTTCATTGTGAATGAGACAGTATCCGCCGCCGCACTTTTTGCAAAACTTTTGCGTGCGCTCAATGCAATCATTACACTAGATATCAATTAGCTTCCCTATTTATTCAGTGATTGTAGAGGATGCGCACATTGATGCCGCATTCCCAGCAGCTTCGCGACACATGTCTCTTCACATCATCACCAGCATAAGGATGATAACACGTCTCACACCACCACTTATTACACGCAACACAGAACCTATCCCTCAAGCAATCAGCACACCTCGGCACGAAATCCTCATGTCCCGGGCGCGGCGTCGTGGCAGCCTGTACGGATGACGAGAGGATCGGCGGCGGAGCTAGCAGCGGCAGCGAAGAGCAGTGCGTCCCAGCCGTCATGACACCCTCTGGCGCTTTGCCACAGCCCGCGCAGCCACCAACGGCGAACGTAGCGACCGCTGGGCTGCACGGCGAGGAGACGCTGCAGGACCCAAAGGCTGGCGAGCTGGCGTGGCGGGGACCCTGGCAGAGCACTGCGTCGAAGGAGATGAGGCCCTGGCAGGCGAGTAGGCACTGGGCCCAGTCGTCCATGTCGCTGGTGCTGTTGAGGACACGGCCCTTTTTAGACCACCATGCATCAGCAGAGTCCTGGGAATTTTCATCGCAGGGCATGGGGCCGAAGACGTAGACTGCTTTGAGTCGTGGGGTGTTCTCTGGGCGGGAGCTGCGACAGGCGTATGCTAGCGCTGCGCGAAGTTTGCCCTGGTTCAGGTTATTGACGCCGCGGATCGAGAGCATGCGCACGCTGTATGACGGATCGTTGATGATCTCATGACACAGCTCAGCTGTGACGGAGAGTCCGTCGAGGATTAGAGATTGGACATCACGAAGAATATCGCGTTGTCGTAGGGTAGAGAAGATGCCCCTCAAGGGCCCGGCGTAGAAGCTATGGATCCTGTAAGCTAACAGCCGTTTTTAAAGTGGTCGCAGCGCAGAAGACAAGGGTATAGTGGACACAAGCAGTGGGTGAACTCACTCATCTTCAGTCAGGTAATCAGAAAGAGTGACATTATGCCAGACTGCAAGATTGCGCTCTGTTTCTTTATGGGCGTCTTCGCAGTGCGCTGTCTTGACCCGTGTAAGATCGATGTGACGAAAGGTACCGGGCGTTTGGTGCAGGAGATATCGAATATCGCGACAGGTTGCGGCGAGGTTCAAAAGGCCTGATACGGGAAGGTAGGGAAGGGTGTGACGAAGGACGAGAGAATTGTATAGAGTGTCAAAGAGGGTCAAGCCCTTTGTCTGGATCTGAGTGATCTCTGCGCGCGTTTGGTGGTCGACGATAACTTGGCTCATGTCAGGCTGGCATGAGTATTACAAAAGATAGGGTATTCAATTATGAAGCAGCCCAACTGGCAAGGAGGGCTAATGGGGGGATATAAGGGGGGTATGATAGAGAAAGGAGAGGAGGGTTGGTGGTGAAGGATATATAGCTACTATATACGGAGTACACATGTTGAGACAAGACATGAGGGATGGGCCGTGTCATGCCAGCGGCCAAAGCGGCAATGATTAACTGGGAACAGATTTGGTCTGGGGGAGATACTGCATGCACCGTTTGGGTGGGATGGGGGAGGACATGACATGGCCCGGGATAATAGACAAGATGGGCTGAGATGAGATTGGATTGGCGAGCCAAGTTCAGGTGGCTCGGAGGGTTTGACGTTGTGAGTCAAGCTACATTAACATTACACAAGCTTGTTAGTTGACAAGCTTGTTAGTTGACAAGCTTGTTAGTTGACAAGCTTGGATGATCAAGTGGGGGGGGGGGACCTTTTTCTCAACAACACCAAAAGAATAGACAAAAGACGTTCCGGCTGAACCGGATACAGAATAACGGCATGCATGGAGTGTGAGGGGGGATCGGCCCGTGTGAGCAGTCGATGTGGGGATTGGATGCATCGTCCAAGGTGAGAGGAATCGGCCAGACTGATGATATCTTGACAAGATGGCATCACCAAAAAGCACCAAAGCAAGGTTGGGGGGATCTATCTTATCTCGAGAGGCGCACCATTCAATAGCTGAGCTTTGCGGCGGGAGCTAATGAGCATGGGTAGGTTGTGTGTAGGGGTCCTATGTAACTCGACTTCTGTGCCGTAGATCAAAAAGAGCCCCTTTTGGCGGGTAAAATGAGCTGTGTCACATTTCAAGGTGTACAGCTACCCTGATCAACATGCCAGGTGTTTTGCAGATCCTACATTTCGGCGTCCGAGATTGCCAAGATAATAACCTCAGTTGATGAAATGAACATCTTTTCAGGGCAATTAAGTAGCTCAGTGGGAAGAAAGCTTCGAACCGGTACTCCGTAGTGTCAAGCTCTGTGAGCCTGTATGTATATCTCGTCAGTCCGGGGATGCATTGCCGGGTCTCTCATCATGACCGCTTTGAATTCAGCCATCATGGATGGGTTAGGTTGCGCTGCATTTAGCCAAATTCTGTGGGGGTCAAAACACCAACTCTGTTTCACTCACAGTCGCGGACTTGTAAGAGCGGTGAATAAAAAATAGATATGTTTGTTTCGATCGACCATACAGATTTGCCCAGACGGATCTGCTGTGCTGTGTGATTATGGCTCTGTGCCGTGTCTGGAATTACGCGTAGTTTTGTTCAAGCCACGTTACGACGCTGATGATCACTGAACAACAAACATTACTGGTGATGCATTGCTAGCTACGTGTAAAGTGAAGCGGCATTCTCCCCGGGATGCACGGAAACTTGGATGTTTTGAACAGGGAGAGATGAATAGTCTGTAGTCTAATTTTAACCATGATATTAAAAGTGAGGCATTGTCTGTGCTTTGAGTCAACTCATGATACGGACCTGCGAGATCTAATGACAGCTCTGATACCGAATGCGTACGAGATGGACAGCGAAGTGTTGGTGTTTTGTTAGTCCGTCGGAGATCGGAATTCCGATTATGTAAGGCTCGTAGGCAGCATAAATCTGATGCGTTCTGGTCTGGCTTCTGGACGATGCTGGAAGAACGTCACCGAAATAGCTGACTGAGCATCGCCGCTGAAAGTCTGTTTCTCGTGATTCAGTATCTGAGTATTAACGACATTTTGGATTTCAAGCGGAAAATAGTTTTAATTGATCTTGTCATTTTCATCTCTATTCTCTGTCCGCTTTCGTGCTCGATCGCCACTACGTAATTGCATCTTATCAACCCCCACCAAATCATCACAGACCCTCACATCATAACTTCTACACATTTACAGCCCAATCATGGAAGAGCCTGCACCCCTGCGCTGGTCGAGCGCATTGCCCGTGATAAGTCCCTCTGCCATAGCGACTAAGAATCTTCGCGGCGACAAGATTCTTCTTCCACAATCTGCTCTTGAACAACTTCTAGCCGCTGCGCGATCTCGACCTTCGACGACTACTGCACGATCAGATCCATGGTCATATTCCACGAGCGATGCTGATACCGCACAACAACTACCGAACCCGTTAATATTCCGACTTGTGAACCCGAAGAATAAGAATGCTGTGTTTGCGGGCATCAGGGAGTTTTCGGCGTCGGAGGGAACATTGGGGTTGAGTCCGTGGTTGACGGAGGCTTTGGGTATCCAGGAAGATGAGTTTGTGTCGCCGAAAGAGGTGATAGATCTGAAACAAGACACAGTGCAGAATGGCGAACAAATGGACCTAGATGGTGTTCAGATCAAAGTCGAGGCGCGACAACTTCCTAAGGGTACGTACGTTCGACTCAGACCTCTAGAAGCAGGCTACAACCCCGACGATTGGAAACCACTCCTCGAGCGACAATTACGAGAAAACTTTACAACACTGAGCAAAGGCTCGATGCTGGCGGTTAAAGGTGCGCGCGGGGAGGAGTTCAAGTTGCTCGTGGATAAGGTCGCTCCCGAAGGAGACGGCATCTGCGTCGTGGACACAGATCTGGAAGTCGATATCGAAGCCCTGGACGAGGAACAAGCGCGGGAAACATTACGACGAATCATGTCTGCGCAAAGAGGAACTACGGATGGAAGTTCTACGGGCGGAGAGATTGATATCTGGAAGGCTGTTGAGGGGCAGGTTCTCGAGGGCGAATACGTCGATTACGTGCTTCCCTCATGGAATAAATCGCAACCTCTTGCGATTGAACTTACTACTGGCGAAGACGAGGATGCGCTCGATTTGTTTGTTACACCGAAATCTTCGCGACAACGAGCGCTGCCGCGAGAAAGCGTTCATGTCTTTGGGGACTTTTCACCGGCGGTTGATGGGGTCAAGAGGATTGTGATAAGTCCTACGAATGTGGAATTGGAGGGAGCGGAGCAGATCACGATATCGGTGCATGGATACAGACATCCAGGCGCCACAGAGTCTCCTAGGACACTGCAGTATTCACTACGAGCCAAGGTGGACTTACAAGACGCCAAGGATGCAACGAATGGGCTATCCAATGGGGCTAGTGAACAAGAACACTCTCCTGATGAGGAGCAGTGCAGTAACTGTTTACAATTCGTTCCGAAGCGGACGATGGTTCTACACGAAAACTTCTGTCGGAGGAATAACATCGTTTGCCCCAAGTGCAAATCAGTGTTCAAGAAGGGCTCTCCGGAGTGGGAAGCGCACTGGCATTGTGAAAAGGACAGCGCTTTTGGGAACTCGACAGAGAGCAAGGCGAAGCATGATGATATCTTTCACACGGAGCGACAATGTCCACATTGCGAGTTTTCGACGAATTCAATGGCTGATTTGGCGAGACATCAGACGAGCGTGTGTCCTGGGAAGTTGATCCTCTGCCGATTCTGTCATCTCGAGGTTCCCCAAGAAGGCGATCCTTTCAATCCCGGTCCAGAGGTTGTTCTCTCTGGGTTAACGGCGCACGAACTTGCAGATGGAACACGGACGACAGAGTGCCATCTCTGCGACAAGATTGTTCGTCTGAAAGACATGGAGACACATCTGAAGCATCACGAACTCGACAAAGTATCCCGTCTAAAACCCCCAATCTGCCGCAACGCCAACTGCGGACGAACAATGTTCGGCGTTGGATCAAGAGGCCAAGTCCGCCAAACTGCCTCCACCGACCAAGCCTCCAACTCCATCGGTCTCTGCTCAATCTGCTTCGGCCCGCTATACGTGAGCATGCACGACCCCGAAGGCAAAGCCCTCAAGCGCCGCATCGAGCGCCGCTACCTCGGGCAGCTCATGACAGGCTGCGGCAAACCCCACTGCGCGAATCCATGGTGCAAAACGGGTCGCGCAAACGCAGGTCTTGAAGCGAAGCCGTCTAGTGCGAGGGAGGTTCTCCCGCTGGTGAAGCCGCTCCTGGGGGATGTGACGAATATGGATGCGCCGCTGTGGTTCTGCACGGATGAGGGGAGTCAGAGGGGCAGGAAGTTGGCGGAGATGATGGCGGAGGAGGGGGTTTGGGAAGTTGAGTGGTGTGTTGCTGCGGCGGAGGCTGAGAAGGGGAGTTTGGAGAGGATGAGGGATTGGTTGCAGGCCTGGGCGCCTACGAAGTAGATGATGATGATGTGGTGTTTGGGGATAGAAGATAGACGGGATAGAGCAAGTCAGCACTTTGACAATATGGATCGGATCGCATGGCTAAGATGCCGAATACGGATTTGAAGACGACGTTATAGTTACATTCCTGTTGCCATCCGGATCATTCGGAGGAGGTCAGACGATCGTCTGATATTCTCACCATGATAGCTGTAATTCATGAAATCATAATTACTCTATACATAATTGAATGCACAATTCGAAACACTATCAGTCATGTCAAGAAAATACATGTGAAACAGAAAAGGCTTGTTTCTTGATTTTTTGACATTCTGGGTTCAAGGATCTTCAAATCTAGTGACGGTCCATGACGTTGATGGGCGATGCCGAGTCAGGACTGCAGATCTCTCGAAACAAACAAAAAAGAGAAAAAAAAAAGAAAAGAAAATATAGAGCAAAAGTCCAGGGTAAAGCTGAGTTGATAGTGCGGGCCTCAATCCGCAAGAGATACAAGTAAGGAGAGCTATCTACTGGTTCGGCGTGGAAATATCACCATGTTCAAGGTTTACACCAAGAGATGGGCTCTGCCAGGATAGCTTACGACGCTTGTAGGGTTGGATTGAGCGAGTGAGTTGTCAACGTATTCGATTCCTCAGTCATCAACTCAAATCATACCTTGCCAACCTTCAACACCAACAACTTACTTACTCTTTTTCTTACTGAACTTCCTCTCTTGGTATTTTCACTGAATAGCTTCGCGCTACCCCGCGGACTAAGGCACCTTTTCTCACCTATTTTACCCGCCCGCCTGGCTCGCGGGCTCCAGTATCCGATCTCAGCTAAACCAGTCGAAGAGCAGGGACCACCAGCTGTTCTGGGCTTTTAGCTTCAGCACCCTTTGGCCGTTGTTACAGGCTGCCTCCCCCCAACCTCAATTGATTTGATTCCAACAAAACGTTCCGTTATCGCTCCACTCACTCTTATCCATTATTCATCATCCTTTCAAAGACTCCAACTTCTCTTTGATCACGATACATTACGCATCAAACGTCTGTGTTAGGTCATAGACCCCAGGCTGTCAATACCACCTTCTCCATACACTATCGGCCCCAAGCGAGATGCCCTCTGTGGTGACCCCCGTCGTCTGACGCCCGGCCCCTCCCCCATTCTATCGTGTCCCCATCTGCATCAGCTCCAATCCCCATCCCAACCCATCGCGGGACATTCGGTAACTCTTCCTATCGAGACCAAGCTCCTTGCTCTTGTCTCACTCGATATCGCTCAACACAACAAAACACAACTCAAACCTCAAACTCCACATTCTCATCCACGACTCTCTTTCTCTCTCTTTTCTCCTCACGATCATCGTTGACGACAACACCCCTGCCCTGGTCCACGCCAGATAAGACCAGCCCAAGTGCGCCATCGCGCCACATAACCACGCGGCTCTCCTCGTTCTTCTCCTTCACATCTTCACCATGGGCAACTCCAACACAAAAGAGTCTCGTCCCGAGGGCGATCCTCGTCAATATGCAGGTCCCGGCGATCCCTCAGTGCGCGAGCATTTACAAACCGCCAACTCGAGATCGAACCGACGAATGAGCAGAGCAGAGATAAACATCTTCGGTATCGGTCCCAGCTCCTCCCGCAATCGTGAGCAACCAGATGTTCCCTTTGAGCGTCGCGAGACAAAGCAGGAGCGTGAGGCGAGGAGGTTAGAAAGGGAGCGCGTGGCTCGGGCGAAGGAACGGGAGAGGAGTATGCGCGAAGAGCACGTTGATGGTGGTTATCTGGTGACGTTGGGCACCTACACTGGTACTGAGGACTTTAGCAAGCCTGTTGTAAGGCAGCTGCAGGTGCGTTTCTTTGTCTTGCTTGTTCTTATCGGTAAGCTGACATTACACAGATAGAGAGAAAGCTTGCGCCATTCTGGCGAGGCCTCAATGATTGGTCTTCGAGCTGGGCAGAGCATCAACTTGTCGCTGCTGCCCGTGGCCTTCCTATCCCCCCCGCCGATGCGCCTCCCGACCCAGAACTGATTCCGCAACCTCCTCCTGCAGAGAATCCATCTTCTTCGAACCAGAACCTCCAGAACTTGACGGTGCCTATGGGACCTAGGACACTTTCTGCCGCCTCGGATCGCAGTGGATCAAACACACCCTCCGGTCTCCCTTCGCCGTCGACACCTGGAACGAGCAAGTCGCCTTTCAAGCCTCGAGCCAAGGCCCTTGCTGCTGCACTCAGCGGTGGTTCTCGAAATGCATCCTCGACCGATTTGACGCCTAAGGAGATCGCTCTCCCTCATGATCCCTTTGTGAACGGCCAACCCATGGAGGTTTTCCTGTACAAAGACGCCGAGGAGTGCCCAATCTGCTTCCTGACATATCCTCCTTATCTGAACCGCACCAGATGCTGTGACCAGAATATCTGCAGCGAATGCTTTGTTCAGATCAAGCGTGCCGAACCTCACCTTCCTGAGCATCACCCGAACGGTGAAGCTCGAGACCCCAACGAGGGTCTCAACCCGGACGATCCGCCCGAGATGCTTATCTCGGAGCCCTCGGCATGTCCCTACTGCCAACAGCCCGAATTCGGCGTCACATACGACCCTCCCCCCTTCCGCCGGGGTCTTGCCTACTCGAGCGGCCCATCACACGGCACAGCCATGTCTTCGCAGACTTCACTAAACAGTACACTACAGACCCCACCCATACACGGCCGTCGACGCGCACATAGTTTGTCTGCGAACGCGCCGAATGTCATCACCACCGATCGCGTACGTCCCGACTGGGCGTCGAAACTCGCATCAGCGAGGAACCACCAAGCACGAAGAGCTGCAGCGGCTACTGCCCTTCACACGGCTGCATTTCTCATGGGCGGAAACGAACAGAGATCGATTCTTCGCCCTAGCCGATTTGGCCGAAGGAACACTGGAAACAATGATTCAAATGCTAGTCCCAGCCCCAGCGGACAGGGTCAAGCAGACGGTGCACAAGACGACGCGAGCGAGGGACCGGAGCCTGGAGCTAGGGGATCTTCACGGAACGGTACAGGACGAAGGAGTCGCATGGACGAACTTGAGGAGATGATGTTTATGGAGGCTGTTCGTCTTTCCCTTGCTTCTGAAGAAGAGCGCAAACGTAAAGAGGAAAAGGCTATTCGAAAGGAGACTAAGAGACGAGAGAAGGAGGAACGCAAAGCCGCCAAGAAGGGTGGAAATCCATACAGTGGGAGTGCAAGTGGTGCGAGCGCTAGTAGCTTGTCACTCGGAGGATTGGGTCGACGACGAGGCAACAGTACTGCCAGCAATCTCCGTGTTGAAGCTACGATGTCCAGGGCATCACAAGCTTCGAGCACCCCGGACTCGCCAGCAGAACCCAAGGCTAAGGACGATGGGCCCGCTGGAAAAGGCAAGGGAGTGGATCGAGGCGCATCTGACAGCCAGGCTGGACCAACATCGTCATCGAGTTCTCTGCCACTACCGGCTGGACCTACGCGTGGAGGATCACATCTTAGGCAGATGAGCAATGCCTCCTCGGTTGGGTCTTCAGTCAACGATAGTCCTGTTGGCACATACACAGGGCCTGATTACTTGGGCGGCGACTTGGGTCCTCGGTCTAGTGGACTGAGCCTCGGTGCCTACAGTGACGATGGAGAACGCGACGGCGGAAGCGCCGGGTCCGAGCCCATGTTCAACTTTAGCAGTCTTGCTCAAATGGTTGGCGCCGATCTCGAAAATGGCCAGATGCGCCGTGACGAGGAGGGAGAGTCTCACGATACACATGGTCGCCCACTCTCACAAGTGAAGGAGGATGAGAAGGAAGACGCAGAGGCAGAACACGTGGAGGGTGTGACAACTGCCAAGACAGAAGTTGTCCCTAGTTCTTTGGCTGCTCCGGCTGTCATGATCACACCAGAAACTCCCGCGCCTGTGGATGAGGCAGAACATGAGGCTAAGCAACTCGGACATTCTGGGTTTACAACGGTGACGGATCGACCTGCTACGGAACAGGGACACGTTTAGATGGGGGTTTTGTCCGGCAAGAGAGGGATTTTGGGATGCATAGGCTTTTAAACATATGACGGGCGGAAGAAGCGTTGTCGGGGAATGTACTTTGTATAAGAGCACCATGTGTAGTAGTCTATACAGATAACGGGCATGTAATATCTATGCCACGAGGATCAACACAATGCTCACTGGTATCAAATGTTTTATTCTTTACTCTGTGGGGTGTCTACGTCTTCTTGACTTCAACCTTGAACTTCTCCAGCCACTCACTAAACTCATCACTCTCCCCCTCCCACCCAAGCTTCAGAACCTCACTAACACCAACCGCACTCTCAAAACAATCCCCCATGAGGGTATCAATCTCTTCCGCATCAAGCTCGTAGAACGCACCGGCTAAGTCCCCGAATTTATGCGGCAACGTCTCGAGAACACTCGCTGCTCTGTCTAGCTTGGAGGGAATGTCGCCTGTGGTGGTGTCCTTGGGAAGTTTCTTGAAGCGTCGCTTGGAGAGGGCTTGGTACAGAAGGACGATCATTCGGAGACGCTTGAGGGTTGAGTCGAGACGAGGGCGGATCTTATCGGGGTCGGATTTGGGGATGGGGGAGGAGGAGTTCATGAGGTCGTCGAGCATTTCTTGATCCGTGAGTGATGCGTTGTTCAAGTCATCGGCCAGAGCATCAACGTCATCTTCATCATCCTCTTCTTCACCCCACTCCTTCAACTCCTCCATAACATCCTTCAGCGTATCCCTCCACTCCTCCGCCTTCCTAACATAAAACCCACCAACCCCCAGATCCGCAAGCTTAACAACCTCATCGCACGCATCCCAAAGCTTACCCGTCAGTACCAAACTCCCCTTACTCCCACTCCTCTCCACAGACGGTATAACCCTGCCATCATCAGGAACGCGCTTCAGCAGACCCCACAGCTCAACGAGGACCTTCTGACAGCGATATGCTAGTTCTTTGCGCACGACGCTGGTGTAGAGATCGGGGGTGCAGGCTTGCGCGGCGGTGGCGAGGCCCGGGATGGGACCTTTGATGAGCTCGCGGATCACGGTGCTGATGGCGCTGGGGGTGAAGGGCTCGTTTATTATGAGGAGGGAGATCTTTGTTGAGTGGGCGCGGATGAGGAGGGATGTGTCGCGGGCGAGGGATAGGGCGTTTATGGAGGTTGTTTCGGGGGAGGGGGAGGAGGGTGTTGTTGGGGTGAGAGGGTTGCGTTGGATTGTGGTGAGTGTTGATTGGAGTTGTTCGAGGAGGGTTGTGGCTGTTGCTATAAGTGTAGCGAGAGCCTTGCGAGACTCTTCATCGTTGGGGGCCATATTGACTCTGATCAGCTGCAGAGTATAAGATAGTGAGTGTAGTTGATGATGATGATGTTTTGCTGGTGTCGGAGGGGTTTACTTCTTTTTTCTCGTCCCCCACCTTTAGTGCCCTCTCTCCCCCAGGCACGGATTTACTTCCGCGTCTCAGATCCTCCCGAACATTTACCGTCCAGGGGAGCTTTTACAGTGGAGACCTCCCTCTGGAATGCTCCCCTGTCCCCCAAAGTCAGTTATAGCTGACCTGGCCAACTCCAACCCGAACCTCCAATTCCTCTTTCTGGAGTCATTACACAGAAAACCACCAGAAACAATGCAACACCCGAATTCTCTGGCGCTTCTGGGCGCTATCTACGCTTTCACCTTGGCTGCTGCTGGCAGTGTGCCCAGAGGTGTTGGCCCAGAATGTATGAATGCCAATGATCATGAAGTGAAGTCAAGCTATGGGGGAGCTAACAGGTGGTTTTAGTTGCTTCTCACTACCAGGTCGATGAATTCTCCTGCATCACCAACGCAGCGATCAAATTGAGTCTTGACAGAGTCAACGATAACACGTGCGATTGCCCTGATGGCTCAGACGAACCAGGCACCGCTGCCTGCGCCAACCTCGATCCTCTCTCCCCCGAACAACCTCTCGCGGGCTCCATCTCCGGCACCACAAACACCACCAACGCCCTGCCCGGCTTTTGGTGCGAGAACAAGGGCCACATTGGCATGTACGTTCCGTTCCTGTACGTCAACGACGGCGTGTGCGATTACGAGCTCTGCTGCGATGGGTCAGAGGAGTATGGCAGTGTAGGCGGTGTCAAGTGTGAGAACAAATGTGCCGAGATCGGAAAGGAGTATAGGCGTTTGGAGGATGAGAAGAAGAAGGCTTTGCAAAAGGCGGCTATGAAGAGGGGCAAGATGGTCAGCGAGGCGAAGGATCTGCGACAAAAGGTTGAGAAGAAGGTGGAGGACCTCAAGAAGGAGATTGCGGCGCTGGAGGTCAAGAAGGAGGAACTTGCGCAGAAGCACCGTGATGCTGAACAGCAAGATAAAGGAAAGGTTGTTCGTGAAGGTCCTGGCACTGGAAAGCTTGGTGTTCTTGTTGGTCTTGCAAAGACTCGCGTCAATGAGCTTAGGGATACGCTGGACAAGGTGGTTACCCAGCGCGATGCCCTCAAGGAGCGAGTCGGTGAACTCGAGGATCTTTTGACAAAGTTCAAGACTGATTACAATCCCAACTTCAACGATGAGGGTGTCAAGGCGGCGATTCGGTCTTTTGAGGATTATTCGGCTCGTCGGGCGGAGAGCAAGGAGGAGGTTGTTAGCGATGAGGATGTTTTGAGTGTGCTGAAGGAGGATGGGGAGAATGCTGGTGTTAACTGGAGTGAGTTTGAGGAGGGTGAGGGAAGCGATACTGATATCCGTAAGTCAACTCTCCCAAGAAGGAGTGTTCTTTGCTAACAAACCAGTCTACAACTTTGAGGCATACCTCCCTCCCGCCGTCCGAGCCTTCATCCACAGCTCGCTCGACAACCTCCGCGTCTGGGCCATCACCAACGGCATCCTCGCCGACAACTCATCCCCCGGCAAAGAATCCACCCTCGTCCGCGCCGCCCGCGAAGCCGTCGACGCTGCCAACCGCGACCTCTCCGACAAAAAGTCCACTCTCTCCGTCGAACAAGCCGATCTCGACTTTGACTACGGTCCCGACGATATCTTCCGCGCTTTAAAGGACAAGTGTGTTACTCTGGAGGCAGGCGAGTACACCTACGAGCAATGCTGGCTAGGCAGCACCAAGCAGAAATCTAAAAAGGGCCACGGTCAGAGCAACATGGGCAATTTCAAGCGCATTGATAGAGAGATGGCGGATGAAGAGGATAGGATCGATGGCAAGAGTCTGGGTAGGGGTGAGAGGATGGTGTTGAGGTATGAGGACGGTCAGCAGTGCTGGAATGGACCGCAGAGGAGGACGGATGTTTGGCTGGGATGTGCGGAGACGGAGGAGCTGTGGAGGGTCAGTGAGAGCGAGAAGTGCGTTTACAGGATGGAGATTGGTACGCCTGCTGCTTGTGACTTTTCGAGATGGGATGTTGGAAGCCAGCCCAAGAAGCCCAGATCTCGCGATGAGCTATAGACAGACAGGGAGATAGATAATGGTCTAGAATGTTGGACAATGTTGATTAAGATAGAAATACAACACGACTCGGGTTCAATGCTCGTATTATACATGCATGCGAATATTTTGTAAACGTCCAAGAATGAAGAAGAAAAAAACGTCCCTGATATCAACAACCCCCCAACTCCCGCACCCTTGAAGCAAATACCATTCCCCCTTTCCATCTCAACAACTGTCTTCTCTGTAAAGAATTCTACCAGAAGCTGCACCATCCTATGTAGTGCTGGCACAGATTCTCCAGCTTCGTAGCCTCCATGATCAACTTGTTGACCTGCGCAATGACATCCAGCTCCTCGTTGTTCTTGAAGTCCCGACCCGTGAGCTTCTGCTGCACGCGGTCCAGGACCTCCACCGCCCTCGCGTTCTGGCTCTCCACCTCTGGTGCGCCGCCGTTGGTCATGGCTTCACCCGCTGAACTGTTTGTTCGGGCGCGTGCGCGGGTCTGGATTGATGGTTCGGGGGCGTTGAGGAGTTCGGAGGGTGCGACGTCGCTGTCGAGGATGGATTGGCGACGGGCGCGGACGCCGCCGGGGACGGGCATGGCTGTGTCGTGGTCTGAGTTGAAGTTGGGGCCTGTGGGAGATGCGGCGTTTGTGAGACGCCATGTAAGGAGAGGATCGTGGATGAACTGTAAATGTCAGTCAGTATGAGATGTATCAATGAGGAGAGGGGGAGACTTACCGCTTCGAGAACAGCCATGACGCTCTCTTTGTTATCTCGTAGAACCCTCATCACGTTCTCGCATGTGATTCTAAAGCTACCCTCAATGTTGCTAACCTCCATAGCATATGTCAGCATGCGAGTGAGTCGGAAAGGAACCCTCTCCGGGTATTTCTCTCTCTTCATCGCCACCTCGAAACAGTCACCGAAATCGATGTGAATAATCTTTCCAGTGACGCGGTCAAGCATCAAGTTTGAAGGATGGCGATCACCCAGTCCCAGAATATATCCCACCATCGACATGACACCGAGAGAGCGAGTGTAGTTAGTTCGTCTCTCAAGCCAAGCCTCAGAAGACTTCGACTTGAGCCAGAGAACTCGGTACAGGTCCTGTCCCGTGGTGTTGTCGAGGGCATAACCAAACACCTCGACTTTCTGCATCAAGGTGAGGTTATCGTAGTCAGGCGCCATCTGGAGCATGATGCGGTGCTCGATGTTGAGCAGGATCTTGCGACTCTCACGATACTCCCTAATAAGAACGTGCAGGGTGTCGCTGTTGGGAACCCACCCGAGCAGACCGCTATTCTGCGAGAGCGGGATGGCTGGGTAGCGCTGGATGTTGAGGTGCCGCTTGAAGCACTCCGAGTCGTGGGCCAGGAGCGTGTTGCACAGGCCGAACAGCTGCATAACTCGTTCGTCCTGGCGGATGTCCTCGTGGCCCTTGAGTAGGAAGGCGTATGACTTGCCGTCGCTGCCGTTGACGTTGAGCTTTCGTGGACGTTGCTTAGAGTTGATAACATTAAACGTTGTGTCAAAGGACATTATCCTCACGATGGGCTGCCCGCTCTTGTATGTGCCTGGTACTGC